GAGAGAGAGAGAGAGAGAGAGAGAGAGAGAGAGAGAGAGAGAGAGAGAGAGAGAGAGATCCAAGTCCGAATACATCCGCATACACACATCCACGTTGAAAAGGGCAAGTATCCTAAACATTTTAGGTTGAACGAAATATTCAGGGAAAAAATATATATACATAAAAGAAAATCAGGTGGTCGTAGTGCCTACGAAGACTAATACTAGTTTCATTTGGAACTAAAAACAAACGAGTCAATTGTGCGATTTCAATCAACAAAGAAAAGAATAACATTGTAATCATATCGTTGGTTTCTCCCTCTTCATTGCCCCCCTCCCGCCTCACTGATCATTTCACAATCCCCTCGTATTGACCACGTCATTTCCACCCTCATCCTCATAATCAAAATCATCGGTTAAGGTCTCAAGATTGCGAGAATGGAGGATTTTCTCCACATCCCCTCCCTTCCCACCATCAGCAGCGGCCCCTCCCTGTGGTGTCAGCGGTGATTGTGCATCACCTTTGCCTGTGCATAACTCCTGTTGCAACTGATTGTCCGGCACGCTCAGGCCAACACCTGACTCTGACTGCATTTCGGATGTGCCTTCTAATGCGGCGCATGTTAGTAATAAACTCCCGTACGTGGCACCTGCATCTGACGACAATGCGTTTGACACATCCATGCGTTTGGACGGTTTTGTCATGGCGACGGAGATTTGCGGCATAGACGTCATGTGAACCTCTTGAGTCTTCACCACAGTAGTCCCGTCATCCTCCCTCTGCCCTGCCTGCGTGGGTACGGGGGGTGATGCCGACAAAGGCACGGCATCCTAAGAGCAACTCTCCTCCATGGTTCCGATAGTTTGATTGACCTTCCAGTCGATTGACCCACATGAGGGACTCGTTCGCAGGGCGTAAAATTTCCAACTGTACTCCAACTGCTGATTGTCTTGCAATACAGAAAACAATTCTTTGGCCTTGTCTTTAACAACGCCCTCGCTCTGCCCCGGATTCTCCTTTTGCACGCGGTACATAATCGCGATTCCGTCGTTTTCAGCCAAGTGTCCTTTGACATCCGGCGAAATGTCTGTCATCCGCGTGTGTATTTGACCGCCATCTTCCACTCCTCATCTTGGATGCAGGGCTAAAAAATGCCCTCATGCCACACGATGTTATGACCCCACTTGTCCTCACCAGTGCGGGCGTGTTTGCCCCCCAAGAAATAAATTGTGGTCGGATCAGCACAATAGCCAGGAGGAATTGGATCGCCTGGTGCGAGCTTCGACGCCTCGCCTGGCATATCAATGTCATCTTCATCATTAGGACCACATATTTCCATGTTTGGCAAACCGGTGCCCTCCATGGGGGCCACCATCGAGCCAACATTGTGAGCGGCCACCGATACGGGTCTTTCATGTGAGCGAACGGTTCCTTCATCGTGTGACCGCACCATGCCACCGCCCGGACCTTCACCACCCTTGTCCTCGCCCAATTCGAGGTCGGACTCCGAAGAGTCTTCCTCGCTGTCGACGGGGTTAAAGCCGTCACCCGATTTTGCGAGGTCAGCTTAGTCCTTGGACGTCAGGTGGTCTTTAGGAAGATTGAACTTCAAGATCTCGCATCGAGCAACAAAAGTCTCAAAGGCGCCAATAAGAGCACCGTGATAATGTTTCAGGGTCTCTGTCACCTTTGCTTCCCTGTAGATGTAATTCTCGTCAAGCCGTCCTTGCGGCGCATCGCAGAACAGATATTCCCACACCTTCAGTCTCTTGCGTCCCAACTTGTGGAATATGTCCCTGTTGCTACGATGTTTGCAACGTGGCTTCTCGACATGACAGGCGAATCTCTCATCCTTCACAAGTATATCGACGAACTTTGTCAGATATTGAATGTCCTTGGCCGACTCGTCGCAGCCAATGACATTATTACCTGCTAGTAACAACTCCCACACAAGACCTGCGTGCGCTCTACCCAACAAAAGCACACATTCCGCCTCTCCGACAAATGATCCGCACAACGAACGCAACTTTCTAGGCTCTCGCTCCCAGATGGAATACACCGCACTATCATCGCCCTCTATCCCGCCGTGTTTTCCTTGACACTTCCCGAACTTGTCCTCCACAACGTGCACGGTTGTGAGGTCATTGTGGAGTCAGGGTTTGACAGTTACTTTTTTTAGATCCCCTCCCTCGGCGTGCAGGACAATGGCCATCATATCTCGACTCGTCATAGCCATATTGCCGTATCGTGTGATGTCGTTCAGCGGCCTGTCCACCCGTTTCCAGGTCCCGGGGATGACTTCGACGTCCTCCCATCGGAACAAGTGACGCAGAACATCGCTTTGCACCTTATGCGGCGCAAAGAAGAAAAGGATCCGATTCTGGCCACAACACTTGGTCATCAGTGTGTGCAAGGCATCAAATTCGTGAGAGGTCCACGCTGTGCTGAAGTTCGAGGATGGGATGTCCACGATGGCGGCCCTGCATGTCATTTTTTGCGTTGCAGCGACGATGTCGTCTGGCGCTGCCAACACTTCCTTCGATGGCATGCACACAGGTAGCAACGTCGTTTGTTTGCCAAGCTTGTCGCACACAATGTGAAGCGCGCTGGAGGCGATCCGTTTCACCTCGGCGCGAAGCAAATCGAGCTTATCGATTGCAGTGTATATGAAGAGCTTAAGGTGAAACGGAGCCTCCTTATACATTGTCGTCGTAGGCCCCAAACCCGCACCTTGCCTTGCCTCCTCCACTCCTCCAAGTCGTCGAGGGACCATCTTCACCTTATTGACATATAACTTGTCCCGTTCCTTCTCCCATTCAGCAACGCACAAACCGTTTGGCCCATACCTGTCTTCAAGGTCCTTGTACGACATGAAGAACGCGTCGTTCCATTCGTCGTCCGCCCTTCCCTCCGCGCGGAACAGAACATAATTGAACATACGCACCATGTACCGCTCCTTTCGCATGATGTCGAGGAGGCACTCTGTGTTCACTCTTGGAGGCAAGACCTTAACGTTCGTTGCGACCACCTTCCCCTTCATGAGCAGGAGCAACGCAACTTCCCTCTCACGACATGTCAAATCCCCAAAATTTTTGAAGTAGGAAGGACGGAGATCCTTCCACGACACGGTGGAGCCTTTGGGACCATCTGTTGCATATATGCAATGGTACAATGTTCTTTGTCCCTTGGTCTTGTCGGTGTACGGGCCTGGCAGGCGGCCTTCCATCCTACCGGGCATGTCAAGCGGGATTTTGCAATCGCCAACTGATAGCTTTCCTTCGTTGAACATCTCGAAGAACCTCTCGACCAGCGGCCACACTGCAACACTAGATGTGGCGAGGTTCATGTAGCCCCGGAGTTTATTACTACAATCCTTACTGTACTCATTCTCGAGAGCTTGCTTTACAAATGCCTTATCGCATGCCTTCCCCATGCAGGCCCTCAAGAAGTTTTGCCACGTCTTCTGATGTGCAACGGCCACCTTATCCTTCTCGATGACCTTGGCTTTGGGGACCTCGATTCTATTGTTGTCTATCCACCATTGCCTGATGTCACGGACAACGTCCTCGAATGACAACATCATGGAGTGATTTTCGCGTGTGTTGTCGAAGCAGGAGACATTGAAATACCGTCGTGTTTGATCATCTCCTAAATAGACGACCCGCACCTTAGAGTACGCGTTGAGGCCATAAACTTTAACTGTCGAGGAGTCCTTTCTGACCAATCTCTTCATGGCCTCAAACGTTATGCTGACCACAGACAGCGTACCAGTTGAACTCTGCCGGGTCCCTTTCCAAAAATTCGGTCGGCGTGATCCGTCTTCCCTGGCCGCCGACAATGTCATTGCGGTCAACTGGGGCAAGCACGAGCTCGGGCCTATCCTACGCCCCCGGGTCCATGCTGATGGATGTTTCGATGGCATTCTCGATGCCTCACACATTGTTTTCAGACAACGAGCGGTGGTTGAAAAGAATCCTTCCGCGGGGAATGCGTTTGATTCTCATGACGTCCATGCGAAGAGCATAGACGTCTTGCGTAGAAAAGCCTTGGTCATCGTACTCGAGGAAGAAACAACGCGTAGTATCGATGGGCGCGACGCGCTGAACCGGCTCATCAGCATCTTCGGGCATGCGAGGATCCACTCCCTCGCCCTCATCCCCCGAGTCCCGCAGCTCTTGTGGTCTCACCCTCTGGGAGCTTTTCCGCGCCCACCACGGCCACCGCCCCCACGGCCACCGCCTTGACCCCCAAATCGCCCCCCTTGGCTGTTTTTCGGAGGAGGCCGCGCCTCCTGGGACGCTGTCAAAGCTCCACGAGCCCCATTAACAGCGTCAGTCCTGGCTTGCCTCTTGTGAGTAGAAGCAGGCGGAGAAGTCTCCCTTGTCCTTTTCTTCGCCTTCGGTCCTTGCATTGCATGTGAGTCGTGCCCACCCTTACTCCTGCTTTGCGATAGCGAAATCCCACGGGACGTCGAGGGCTGACCACGTGCGGCTCCCACAGCGCCGGCGGGGGAGATGTCATGACCATGAATTGGCGTGTCAGCGTCCTCGTCAACAAGCGCGCCCCGGTCCAGCATGTTGTAATCCCCAACTTCCACATCTGCTTCATTACCGCCGTCGTCATGCGGGCCGACACTTCCTCCTTCCTCGTCCTCGTCGTTGTCCTCGTCCAGGGCAACTGCACTGCCCTGGGAATTTTCACGACCAACATTGCGCTGGTGCAGAAGCTTGTCATCACACTTCGTTGCCTCGCTTGAACCTTGAGCCAAATCACGACCTCCCCTCACGGAGGGCGAGGGAAGATTCGCGCCCGGCGGCCCACCCAGCAACTACTTCGTCTTCCCTGTCATTGCGGACGGCGTTTGACGCCTGCTCTTGGAACCCGCCTCGAAGGGCAAAAAAACACAGTCCGCTTGCTGGTCTGGCGGCAGCTTCGAGAAGTCTTCCCTGTACTGGTTAACCGCACCTGGCCGCAGGTCCATCAGACTGTTGAATTGGACCAAAGGTTTGCTCATCCGAAAAGAACTGTCGACGACAGGAAGGCAGCCAGTGATGCGATTGACGTTTGTTTTGCTGAGAAATTCTTTCGGAGAAAGCATGCGGAATTCAGTTCCGTCCCCACGCACATCAAACGCTTTCATGGAGAAAGACTTGACGCCGTATCCTTGGAAGAGACGCAGGTCAAGGGAGACCTTCTTGTCTTCCTTGACCCAGTCTGTCCCAGCGCTGTTGAAGACGGACGTGAGGAAGAAGGTCCTGAACGTCCTCCCTTCATAGGTCTTCTTGCCCGCCTCGGATTTCTCCACACCCCCACAAAAGTACCAAGTGGCGCCACATCGCTCAAGAAGATAACAACCCCACACCCCGGTTTATGCAAACCGCCTACCCAGTCAAGAGCCCACGGTTTGTCGTTGTAAGTCTTAGACCTGCCGTACCGTTTATTTTGAGCAGAGGTCGGCGCACCAGGTTTACCTGCCAGGGGCAAAGGCAAAACAAAGACGGGCAGRRGAACAGCAATGAGCAACACACAGAAGCACTTGCACGTGGTCCGAGACATTCAAGAAGGCACGTGACCYGCCATACRCYCGCCAKCCTTTCGGCAAGGGGGRTTTGYGAAATCGSGAACRCTGCATACCRGACAACYGTGCATGGTCGAGGGGTCCGRCRTTCYCAGTCCGCCGGACCCTCGCCATCCTTTCGAGGCAGGGGGTCGAGGGTTCCCATTCCGATGGGCCCCCCTCCCCACCCAGGAAGGATGGCGGGGGCAGGGC